TGCAGCTCCTGGGTGCCTACGAGGTCAGCAACAGAGCCCAAAATATCCCGCACTCCGTACAGTATTGAGACTGTGCGCCTAGTCGCCTTCGGCGGAACGTCCAGGTTCGTATTGTCCCACTATCGTGCCTCGCTGAATCTCTGCTAGATGTCTCGCAGGTCAGAGTAAACCAGGCCGCACTCCAAGCCATCTCCATGTCCCTACCCCGTCCAGGTGGCCCTCCAAAAAATGACTTGCCGAGCTGGCATCTGCCTGACATCAACCGGCGCATCAAAGAGCGTCCGAGGTCTTCACTACCGCTCAAGGATACCCACCCATCCGGCTCCTTTCAATATGTTCGATTCCTAAGCGTCCATCACCCTTCCACTACGGAGTTCCAACTCTCGGCCATAATATGCTAGACAGATATCGTTCCAATGCTGGGGCTCCCTGTCCGTGCCCTTTTCAGGATATCGACCAGAAGCCTAGGGCCCAGGTCTGCGGTGGCCCGTGGTTTCTTATCCTCCTCTCTTATTTGCCTGCATGCCAAAATGAGTAGGACTTAGTCCCTGAGAGAAAAAGGACTAGTCCAGCACTGAGCTTTTGCTTGACATGCAACTTAGTCGATGGCAGGCGAATGCGTGGCGAAATAGTGTCATCTGTCAGGTCAGCTGCGTCGTCTTTTCGGCAGGCTCGCGTGGCTGGCGCTGTGAATGTGCGCTGGTGCCTTGCGAATGTCGACCACTCTTTCCCCGTTGACAGACGCGCGAAAGACTGCACAGACCGGCCTCGCTTTGGCACTCCCTTACCTGAGCATGCCGCCGCCACAGCCCACTCGGTGCCTTGGGGATATGGTGACGCTTCGTCCACACTTGATCTCAGCTCATCAGCAAATTCCAAATCTCCCACCACCCCAAGGTTCTGTCGTATTGCCACCACGGCAGATTCAGTGGTCAGTTTTTGGGCATCCTTGTGAGAGCATTTTCGTGAGATGATTCTTTTGAGAGTCTCAAAGTCGAACCAGTTGGCCGAGGCAGAACGCCGGCCTGTCCAGTCAGACGATGAATAGGTGTCACTCAGCTCAGTTTCTGGCTACACGGCCAATCGGAGCCTGATTATTTCAGACGGTTTGCCTAAGGGTTGAACTCCAGCAGGACCCGAGATGTGAGATCTGTGCCCCACAGGACTAATCGTGAGCCTTCCCCCGGTGCCAGCGCACGCCCCCTCTCGACTCAGGCCATCAAGCTCATGTTCCTTTTGCTGCGTTTCTAGAAGCCCTTAGTGGGGCTCTATACTATGGATTTCGATGATGGCTCTATGGGCAAACCGGTACTTTCCGTTCGTAAAATCGATGTTGTCAAGAAAGCTGTTGCAAGATGCAACTAGCAAGCCGTCAAGGGATATTGTCGAGTAAAGGCATGTAAGGGGATGGCAAGCGGGCTCAGCCTCTCATCACCCGTGCGGGCCGTCGACATCACTGCACCGCCTCATCAATGCTGCAAGCCTCGTCTCTCTGAGCCTCGTGAGGCACCGCCGATCTGTAGGTTGAATGAGACCCAGAGACGGAACAGATTCTGAACACGAGCCATCTCCAATAGATGACCCCTATGGGCACCAACGCTGTCTTTGATTGACAAAACAACCTGACTGCCGCCACCTGTCATCATCGCTCTTGATTTACGGCATGAATGTCTTGTGCGGATATCCCTGTCATGCTTTTCCTGGACAACCGAGGGTCAAAGATCGCCGGGTCCTGCTAACTCAGCGTCAACTTCGGGACCCACAAGGGTCCAGCTCCACCGGCGGACTGGGAGGGATGCCCGTCGATTCGCGACTAAAGCTCTGGTGGGCCATCAGGTGTTGTTGATCGCAGGGAGAGTGTTTTTTTCTTGACTTTCATTCTTGTGATGTAAAGCAAGGCCCAGACACCACAACAACAAACCAGCCCCAACACCGTGACGCCTCCCCCGCCTCTCTCTTCTCCATCGGGCGACCCCTGAGTCCACTCATGTTGGCAAGCTTCGGCAGGGTTTCCCAGATTACCAGATCACTTGCATATCCCAATTAGTGAGAGGAATTTCCCGCATCTGCTCACCGCAACGCGCAGGTCAAACTAGGCTTGGTAGGCTTGGTAGGCTTGGTAGGCTTGGAGGCTTTTGGGAGGGGGCATGCGCCGAAAGCGCCGACAGGCTTTCAAATGCCCCCGAGTCCTTACGCGGTGCTCTTCGCCGAGCGCTCGGTGGGAACCACGCACGTTTGTTGGACGATCTGACCTGGACTCGTCACGACGCATCCCTTACCACTGGCTGTGCTGGGACCAGCGCTTGAGCGTATACAGCGTGGGGTATTGTCTCATTTGCAAGTCGACTCCTGCTGACTCCGAACCGCTGGTGCCGATAGCAGCCGTCTGTACAGTGACTATTCTACATCTACATCACCGACAGCCGGCTTTGGCAGCTGGTCTTTTTCTTGAGTCAAGGGGTGATCCTGCCTGTAGAGCTCTTGCGTGAAAAGCGGAAGAAAATTGGACCACGCTGGCGCAAGATGCCGAGACTAACGTATTGTAGCCATGAACTACTGGATTGTTGCCGTCATCCTCACCCAACACGATGCGTTCGGACAAAGGGTCGCGACAGCGCAATGCACAATTTTTTTTTCTCTCTCTCCGTCGATCATACCGTCACGACGATCCACAGTATTGGTGTATCACTCCACTGATATTCTGGGCCCTTGGGTTCCAGAACGTTTGCTCTGCTATTGTCGGATGGGCTCTTGATCCGCGCTGTACTCCTCCATACGGACTGATCTTCTCTCAACCCCTCAGCCCCTGACCCTCGTGTGCCATCACAGGAGGTTGGTCAGCTCCCTCACATCTGCGCTACTCGTCCCGCTTCGTAGTCTCCGCGCCTGACGCACGCGACTGACTGTCTGTGACTGGTTTGCTCGGCGCTCCGCTTCCTCTTGACGATGGGGCGAAAAAGAGGAGGGGAGAAAGATCAATCCCACTCGAGACCGGCACACAGTGTAGGAAAGCTGTCGACGGCCATCACACGGCAGCATGGTCGGCAGCCAGGCACGCCGCATATGCGTATGCTGCTTCAGGTCCCTTAGCTTGTTCGCGGTTAGCTACTGAGCCGGCATGTGTACTGCGTGTGTGAGCTTCGTGCTCGAAAATGGCAGGGCTGTTTGGTGTGTATTGGGCTTCAATGGCGCTCCTCCCAATGCATGGCTCTCCGTCTTCCCCGCCTGCCCTCTTGCCTCCCTCGCTACACTGCACCGGCTTGCTGAAAAGCTCTCTGCTCGTCAGTCCTCAGCTGCAGGGCAGGGACGGGCGCACGCAGGCGGTGTGGGAGCCATCACGAGGGGGACCTGTCTGCGAATCGGGACTGGTCAAACCCCATGCCGCCGCCTGGTGCAAGTTCCAGGCGCTTGCTCTCGGATCACGTCTCAAGGTTGCGGCACCAATAACGACGTCAGCAGGGTATGCGAAGGTTGTATCTGTCGGGAGACGAGAGCACAGACTTGCCCTTTCCCCCTACCTCTTCCTGGACCCCTCTCCTGGTCTTTCTCCTCTCTGTCTGGGCCTCAAGGATCGTGGGATGCGTACTGCACCACATTGGGGCGTTTCCGGGCTAAACAGGCCCCCTTTGCACAGGGGCGGGGCGTCCAGTATGGATTCTTCCACTTGAGCGAGAGCCCTCGTGTGCGCTCCCTCTAGGGAGCATTCAACGGACGTCACCGTCTCGCCGCCAGACCACCACCACCACCATTCCCATGCCATCTCGATGGCTGGTTGCGAGTATTGACGTAGTTTGCCACGGCGGACCAGCCATTGCCTGGCAGCCTGGCTACCTGGATGCGCGCCTGCTCGCCTTTCTCCAGGCGGTAGGACCAGAAGCCGAGCACGCAGCAAAGAGGGCCCCGTCTCCGCCCGCTGGTTGTGGGATTCTGGTGGTCTCGATGGGCGGGCCAGTCGACGGCACACGGATCTGGGGGCTCGAGTTCCGCACGATTAATTGCTGCCGTCGCTGCCTGTAACTCGTTGACCACCCTCACGAGACTCTGGTGACGGCACTACTGGTGCACGAGAGCAACCATCGTACTGCGCCCCAGACCGGACACACGGTGTCTCTGTCTCAAAAAGTAATTCTGAGCGCAACCTCAGCTCCCATGTAGCAGATGGTTCTTGGTCATGTTCCGTCCTATCTCAGGGAACATCGAACCGCGTGCCGGTACAGTCGTCCGCCTCCCGGGAACTACAGCACACCAAATGGGAATTCCATGTTTGCCTCAACACGGCCCCTTGCCCCCCCCCCCCCCTTCCTGCCCATTGCTCATGATCCGTCACCCACACACGCATGCACACAAAGTGCCCCGGCGGAGCGAGGCACCCAAGACACCCAGTTTCGTAATACCACCTCAACTCCAATAGTCGAGTCATCGCCCAGCCCCGGACGCCGTGCCTGCTGCCTGCGAACCCCCATCACCCATCTATCCATCCACCCACCACAACCCATCACATTTTGGTCCGTGACCGGGTGGGTGTTCTCGCCCGCCAGGCTCCGACAGTCGGATGCGCGCGCCTCCAGATCGCGTACCTGTTTCGATCGCGTGCGGTGCTGCCCTGGCCTGGATGGAAGCCTGCCTGGGGCGTTTTTTTTTTTGGGTGCCTCGTGAACGATATCTTGCTGTTGCTGCTTGTGCTGCTGCTGCTGCTGCGCCGCCAAGCTGGCATCCATTTCTTCTACTTCTCGGCCCGGACGACTTGTTCGCGGCCCGCCCCCAGGTAACGCGGGCGTCGCCGAGGCTTGCCATTGCAACAACGTGACGCATCAAGTGTGCTTACAGACGTAGTGCTGCGCCTGGATCGGAGATCCTGCTCCTTCTACATGTACGTCTCGCGTCGAACAAACATGTTGCCTAAATGGTGGGGGGGAGGGGGGGGGGGGAGTGACAGGAAAGCAATCGGTTGGGCTGATGGTAAGGCAACTGCGGTGGATGGATTTCACGGTCGCACAACGTCACTCCGCGGCGAACATGACGAAGCACGAGGCACGAGAAGAGACAAGAATGATTTCTCTCCGTATTCCGCCCTCCTTTCTCGACCCCCCCATCGTCATGTAAAGAAGAAGAAAGTGTACAATGATCTTTCCCACACACACACCACCATGCGACTGAACGCAGAGTTTTGGGGTGCCGACCTGAGTCGGGGGAGACGACGCGACGATCTCTCCCGTTTTCCCACATCCGTTGATCAACACCCCCAACGCCAGCCAAAGTCCAAGCATGTTTTCCCGATTAAACTCCCACTTCCCCTCCCCCGTTGCTCTGTGTGTAGTTGCCGCCTCATCCAAGACGAGTGTCGATCGCGGCGGGCTACACGGTGACGCCACGAGCGTTGCTTGTGCTGTTCGCCGACTCAGTGCGTCGTCGATGTCTCCCGCGGCGCATGCGTGCCGTGCGTCTGGTAGTGTATCATCCTGTCTGGCAGGTATGCCGTTCTGTCTAGCAGGCGTGCCATTTGGTCTCGTGGGCGTGCATTCGGGTCCCCGTAGGTGTGCCATTCTGTCTAGTAGGCGTACCACTCGGTCTAGTAGGCATGCCATGCCGTCTTGCTGGCGTTCCATTCTGTCCGAAACTGGCGCCGTCTCCCCGAGGGACCTACCGGAAGGGGACGACGGCGCGATCGATAATGGGGCTCGCCCGCGCGCGCAGACATCCGTCTCGTTGCCCCAGCGTGCGGCCCAATCGACCTCGCGCTGGGCGGCGCGGTCAAAGGCGGCGCGGCACGCGGGCGGCAGCAGGTCCTTGATGTCGTCCGAGACGCCAGACAGGCCGTCAAAGGGGGCGAGAAAGTCGGCGGCGGGCCGCTGCTTGGACGAGGACGAGGGGGCCATGCCGGCGGGGGCCGACTCGTAGTAGATGTCGAGGACCTGGGCGTTGCGAGCGACGGCGGGTGGCAGGCGTGGGAAGACGGACGTCGGCGCGGGCTCGTCTTCGGGGGCCACCTGCTCGATGCGCGTGTGCGTCGGCTGCATGATCGAGGGGTACTGCATCATGTTTGTGTGCACGTCGTAGATGCCGCGATTTTGGTAGCGGCGGATGGCGTTGATAGATGTGTTGAAGGTGCTGCTCGCAGTTAGCAACGTTCATTTCATGCAGATCGTGCCCGACAAGGATTGGGCCCGCCGAGAACATACCTGGCTTCGCGCGCGTGCTCGAGCATCCAGTTGGTGTTGTTGACGTTGACGCGGCGCTTCTTGACCTCGACCTTGCCGACGATGGGGTCGGCTGCCGTGGGGGCGTTTTGGTGGTAGACAGAGCTGGCGCCGTGCCAGGCGACGTACTGGTTCTTGTTGTACGGCTCGGCGGGGTTGTACATGTCGTTGGGGTCGGCGAGGTCGCCGTCGGTGACGCCCTCCTCCTCACGGGCGTCGGCGACACGGTAGTCATCGAGGACGCGGCGGCCACCGACGACGATGCGCGCACCAAATTCGCGGAAGACGGAACGGGCAGTAACGATTCCTATCGACCGGCCCTTGTACGAGTGCGGGATGATCTCGCGATCAATCATGTCGCGCTTCTCCTCGTCGTCGACGATGATCTTGTGCAGCTTGAGGTGCTTGGTGAAGAAGAGGTACGAGTCGCGGAAGCCGACGCAACGGGCGGGCTCGGTCGACAGCATGTAGAGGCGAGTGCCGCGTCCGAGGACGGTAAAGGTGCGGCAGCGGTACTCGCGGTCACCGAGCAGGTTGCCCGACTTGTCGACCTTTGTCTCGCCGTCGGGGTCCTCGGGCAGGACGCACTCGTCGTTGACAATGTCGACCTCGGTGCCCTCCTTGTCGATGGCCTGGCGCAGCTTCAGCGGCGCCTGGCCGGGACCAGGCTTGCGACCGCCGCGCCCGCGCCAGCCGCCACGACCGCGACGGCGCGGCGTGTCGGCCTCGGAGGCTGGCACCGTGATCATGGGGTCCCAGTCGGGCGGACGGTTCTTCGGAGGACGGCCGAGGCGCTTGCGGCGGACTGTGGCCACGGGCGGCGGTGTGGGTTCCTTGACAGAGGGTTCTGTGTCTTCGGCGTCAGGCTCGCCGGCGGCTTCCTCCTGGTCGGCGTCATCGTTGTTCGAATCGTCGGCCTTCTCCTGCTCATCGTCGTCGTCGTCTTCGGCCTCGGGTTCGGGAGGCTCATCGGGTTCGGATGCTGGCTCATCGGGAATATCAGGCATGGGTTCATCATCCTCGATGCCCTCAAATGCGCGTGGTGTACTCTCTGTGAAGGTATCATGTCAGCATGCATGCAAATCCATGTTGCCATGCGCCATGTGGGGAGGGGACGAGGGAGGCTCACGAAGGGCAGCCGATGCGCGTCTAGCGGCGGCGCGACCGGATCTTCGACCCATCGCTGCTGAAGCACAGCCTGTGCGTGCGTCGTTGATGTGATGCTTGCAGTGCCAGCAGATGAGGCGGACGGATTGTGGGCGGGCTCAATGGCAAATGCTTGGCCGGGGGTGGTCATAAGGATTCGCGATCATGGAGCGGCCGTGGACCATCTCAGCCTGGTCGCGGTCGCGTTTGGTGGTTCCTTCCTCTGCGCCACGGATTTCCGGGCCCGCACGTGATGTCCTCTACAGTCTGAATGATATATTTTGAGCACTGTGTATTTAGATCACCACGACCCTTCAGAGAACATGACCACCTCTCATCCAGACGATCCGATAACAGATATACAGCGTCGTCATGCTTGAATGCTTCTCATGGCGGCCCTCGCCGGATCCATGCGCATCTACGGTTGATGGCACATCTCTTTCCATCAGATCCCAATCACGTCTGGGTATGGCCTCTGCTGCCTGATTCTTCGACAGAAACCCTTGCATGATCGGAATCACATCCTTCCTCCCACCTCAGCTCGTCGCCAGCGCCTCAGGCGACGCACCACTGCCGGCCTGCAACGCCCTCAGCGCATCCGAGTTTCTCCTTGGTGCAGACTGTAGCGGCACATCCTATCGGTCGCCGTTGTCAGCGTGCGCAGAGCATCCATGCATGCAGTCGCAAACTGGGAAGCAGCTCCTCTTACCTTCCACACCTCTTCAAAGCCCCCAGATCTGACGTACAGCACGCCGGGGCCCTCCACTGCGTCGACCGTCATGGCTTGGATCTTGCGCCAGATGTCGTCCCCCTTCAGAACGGCCCACGGCTTACCGTTATACTTGCTCATCAACTCGTGGCACAGAGCATTGACGCGCGCCTGCTTGATGGCGTGTCCGTCGTCGCCAAAGTCTTGGAGCAGCAGCCCAATCTCTAGACGCGGATGGGCCGTGTCAGCCAGAGACGCACAGCTGGAAATAAAGCATCGCAACTTCGCAAATGCTCCCCTCATCAAGATCGACACTCACCTCGTACAGACCCTTCGATTGGTCTCTTGGACTGGTAAGAAACGATACCCTCGAGGGAAATCTCTGGACAGCCTCGCGCTACATACTCGAGAAAGTCCATCCTGATCTTCCACTCGAGCAGCCGCGCTTTATTGGCCGGCGAGATCCATGCCTGCTTGTTGATGGTCAGGTAAAAGATGGCCGAATTGACATGGTGCCTGCCCGTGACGTTAGCGGCCCAGTAATTTTCCCTGGGCCTGACTAGGTTTACGCCTCGCGACCACGTACATGAGAAAAAAGTCGTATTTCACGTAGTGCGGTGGGTGAATGGCGGCGCTCGACGCGACATAGATGATCGTGTGCAGCATCTCCGCCGTCCTCTCCTCCACTTCGTCTTCTCCCACGTGCACCTGCGCCAATGCCGCAAGCATGGCCTCTTCCGCTCGCTGTAGAATGCCGTCGCGAATCTTGTTGCTGTCCGTGAAGCGAGCCGCGCGCCGAAGCTGAGGGTCGGCCCTGAGGCCCTGGAACAGGGAGAGCAGCGGCGGCATCTTGGCGGGTTGCGACACATGCCGCGCTCGGCGCTCGCTCTCGAGCAGCAGGCTGTCGAGACCGTCGCGCTGGTGCACGCAGGTCTGGGCCAAGGCCTCCGCGACGATGGCGGGCTGCTTCCATTCCAGCGCGAACATGAGCTGGAGCAGCGAGTGCAGGACGCCGGCGTGGAGACGGATGAGGAGATCATTGGCGTGCGCGTCTCCCTGGAAGAGGTACTCGTTGACGACGGCTTCGTAGCCATTGTCATCGATGACCTGCTGGAAATGGGCCAGAAAGTCGGGGTAGTATTCATCACGCCCGAGATAGGGTGCGGCATTGTCCCACGATGCGGCCAGCGCGGATGCGATATCGTCGTGGCGCGGCTCGACTGCGCGCTGTAGCGAGTCCCGGAGCGAATACGCCCTCTCGAGTTGCGCGACGCTGGCGCCGGTGCCGTACACAGCCAGGATGTGGTGAGGCATCTGGCAGAAGCCGTCAACACGCGATGCGCAGGCACCGCCGGAACGGCGTCCAACTCACATGGTCGTGGAATCCCTTATTGTTGAGGAAAACGTGGTGGTTCTAATAATAGCCCATCTCGTCAATCCGGCGATCAAGGCAGCGCCGTCCACATCGAACGCGCGAAGCAGCCTACCTCTAGGTCATGGTTCAACAGCTCGCTTGCCTTGGCGGCCGCCTCGCTGGTCTGTTGAACCTCCCATAGACCTGTGTTCTCGGGAGAGATGCGTACTGACTTTGCCGACATGATGCTCAACCTAAGTAGGGGCTGAGGTACTAGAAGTATTCCCTGGCCGCCAAAGACCTGGGTGCTTCTTCGTCCCAAGTCACATCAAGCCCTTCTTGGGCAGCGAGAAGCGCGATACACTTTATATCCTTCTCTGGGGAGGTGGCTGCTGAGCAAGGTGCATTCGACACTCCCCGCTCTCGATTTATCAGCCGGTCGCGTAGGGCTGCCAATGAAGTGAAACGGATTGCTCATTCACGCGCCTGATCTACCAATTTGTTCTAGTCTCACCGGCTTCGCATGTGGAATTGTGGGGTGCAACGAATGACGTCAAGGTCCCTTCACGAGCCTCGAAGAATCGGATCACGATGCGCGATGTGCGTGACTGGCGTAGTTGTAGCTCGATGGTGCGCTGGTCATTGTCACTATTGAAGCCAATGCTCCTGGATCCTAGTCTTAGGTGCTGTAACATGCGCTGAGAAAAAAAAAATGATCGTCACCAAGTTTTGCCTTTTGCATCGTTTTCCTATGATGCTGCACGCAGTAGGGAAGCATTACCTTGTGCAGTTTCGGGCTCGGTTTGCTGAGTGTTAAACTCTGTCCTCAAGACATGCCCAGCAAGGCACTTTGGCTACCACTTAGTTGATGCGGCATTCCGAACAAGATGTTGTAGGGAAGTCACCAATCTCATCTTTGAACTCCTGACTTCTAAATATCAAGTGCCTCCTACATGCAGTAGTTGTCGGCTACATCTCTACAGGTGGAGAAGTAGCAAACAACGAGCGATGAGGATCTGAGATCTGGCGTAAGGTACTCAATCTTCCAGACGATGCTGTGTGTCTGGGCATACATTAAAAGTCGTACCATCACGTTCTAATAATCTTCTCGTGCTCAATATCGCAAAACCCGCGCGAAATCACAAGCAGGAGTATCACGCCACTGCAGCCAAGGACGGTTACATGCGAGAACCCTTGGCTGTGCCGTCGAGGGGCCTTTGAGACTTTTTTAGACCACGCCAAACAACCGTGGACCCGGTTGCTAAAATCTCCCCAGGGGTTTGCAGTGCAATTCCCCTGTGGCCTCAAGGAACACCCGCACTACTTGCTCCTGTTTCCGAGATTAGGGTCTTTCGTCGCCACTTAACTAAAGTGTATGCTGAATTCCAGACGTGCACCGACTCTTGCCAGGCCTGACAGGCTGGACCGTGAGGCGACCAAGGTGGGCAAGGATTGTCATCCCAGACGGTGCCTTTGAGGAATCCTCTCTTCAATGTCGGTATTCCCTGTCAGCATCGATCGGCCAAGGCACCATGACCTCACCACATTGGTCTTCCCTAGCAGCACTGGAGTGATTTAAAATGACCAAAGACGCCGGAAACGATGTAGCTGATGGGTTGTTTCATAGAGCCACACTTTCCCTGAGCACACAGGTAGAGGATGGATCGCACCTGAGCAGTATCCTGATTCTCTTACACAGCACAGAGTCTTACATGTGGCCATGATTCGTCTGATCGACCTTGCTGCCGCCTTTGCTTGTGTTGGACTGGTAGACGGTCAACGAACCGGGTTCAAGAGCGTACGTTCTGGCTGTTTTTGTGTCTTCGTATCTGGCGCTAATTTGGTCATCAGTGCGATGCGTTGATCGATGCTGGCCTTGGTGACAAGCTGCTCCTCGCGTCTGGACCTGGAGATGGCTATAGTCGCAGCCTGGGCTCTTATTACAGCCTTACTATTCGAGAGATTACCCCATGGTGTATTCTTAAGCCAGCAAATACTCAGGACGTTTCGGCTGCAATCAGGGCCCTCTCTCCTCTCACCGGTGCCGGCCAGTGGGGCATCGCCGTTCGTGGCGGCGGCCACAGCCACTGGAATAACAACAACATCGCTCAAGGTGTCACTATCGACCTCAGCCTCTTGAACACGACGACGGTGCACAACTCTACTTGCTCCGATGGAACGGCTGTTGCTTCCATTGGCGCTGGCTCAAGATGGGGCCCCGCCCTGTTCGAAGCTGAGAAGCACGGGCTGAGCATCACGGGCGGTCGTGTGAGCAGTGTCGGTGTGGCTGGTCTGACCTTGGGTGGTGGAGCGTCGTTTCACTCTGGTCGCCGCGGCTTTGCCTGCGATGACGTTGTTAACTATGAGGTGGTTCTGGCGGACGGCAGCATCGTCAATGCCAACAAGAGGGTGAACCCGAGGCTGTTCAAAGCCCTAAAAGGCGGGAGCAGCAATTTTGGCATCGTGACGCGTTTCGACATGGCGGCCTTCCCCGCTGGAGACCTGCATGGTGGTATTTTCTTCACCACTTGGGATCAGAAGGACAAGATTGTTGATGGTTTCATGGACGTCATCGCAACCAACAAGAACCACCCGGCAGACAGCCAGATCGTGCTATTTCAGCACAAGACTGGTTTGCCTCAGCCCATGGTTGGGACAATTGCCGTCAACACCGATGGGAATGCGAGTGCACCAGTCTTCGACGCTCTCAGAGGAATGCCTTATATCATTGATTTGAGACAGACTCAGACCTACGGGGAGCTGGTCAGTGGCATGGCTGATGACGGCGGCCAAAGGTGAGCGCCGTTGTATAATCCATGGACTCCAGGGGGGAATGACCAACTGATGGTGACAGATACATGTGGTTCTCGCTTTGCTTCCATAATGACAGGCGCGTCATCGACAAAGCTGAAGAGCTTTTCGCAAAGCTCACAGCTGAGATCAACAGTGTCATTCCCGACGAAGATCTGACCATCATCTTTGTCTTCCAATCTTTGCCTAAGCATTACGGCCAGGCCAATGTGGGAGGTAACGTTCTCGGTCTAGACAACACACTCACTGAGGATTCGATAATTTGGCTAGGAGAGGCTTTCATTAACACTCATGCCGTCGAAGCACTCTTCCAGAGCAAATTGGCTGTTTTTAGTGCTCAACTAGAGGCGTACGCACAGTCAATCGGTGCCAACACGCAATTGCGTTACCTGAATTATGTCAACCCGACACAGGATCCTCTCAAGTCATACGGGCCCGACAATGTTGCCTTCATCAAAGAGGTGGCCCAGGAGTATGATCCGTCCGGGTTCTTTCAGACCCGAGTCAGCGGCGGCTTCAAGATCTCTAACGTGGAGTGAGCATGATGTAAATCTTCTGGGAGGAGAATGTGGCATGCAAACCGTGTACTTCATTAAGGGTATGTACGAATATGATAAATCACGTACTTTCAACCATATTGTGCAAAGAGCCATACAAGCTACTTTCTTTTATAGAACCCCCCCCCCCCCTTCCCGACAGATACTGACCCATGTCTATTCACTGCACCCAGCAGGCAGGGATCTAGTAAGCCAGCGTGACGCATTTTCCAGTCCACTCTCTCCTTGCCTGGATGACCTCTTCAAAGATCCATTCCGCCAGATCGGCCCTTGAGATCGTATACCCAACAGCCGGCCCTGGGCCCTTCTCTCCCTGACCGTCCGAATCATGCCTAACCCAACCAACGCGTACTTTTTCAAGCCCCTTGCCAGGGTTGCCAGTCAACAGGGGGGCTCGGACAAAGACGTAGCCGCCCAACGCCGACTTGCCGCCCAGAACATCCTTCGAAATGACAGTCTCCATGTCCTTCGTGTCAGCAATCGCCTCGGGTAGGAGCCAGTCATACACCGGGCGCATGATGAGCGGGAGGTCGCGCTGGACGGATATTCCAGTAGACGAGATGGGAACGAAGAGCGGGGCGCTCGACAGGGCGCCTTCGTCCTTGAGCTCGTGCAGCGCGCGCAAGACCAGGGCCGCAGAGTCGCCTATTAGTGTCGGGTCCTGCATTGTCACGGGCCGGAAGGGGTTGAGGTGGAAATCCGGCAGACTGGTGAGACCGGTGACGATGAACTTTGGGTTGCAGCGGAGCAGATCTTTCAGAGCGCCGAGGTCGCGCGCAGAGCCTTGAACAGCGGTGACATTCGACTTCAGTGTTGATTTGGGAATGTTGTGAGTATCCTCCAGGGCGGAAAACAGCTTGGAGGGGGTGCGAGCGACTGGCGATACATTAGCACAATCCTTCCTTTCAGGTGATCATCTGAACCGTACGGGCGACAATTCGATGACCTGCCTTGAGCGACAACGCAATGATTTGACTCAAAGTAGTACCCGCTCCGCCAATGAAGGCAATGGTGATCTGCTCGGATGTCATTGTGGTGCTGCGACGGGCTAAGTAACTCGATGAGGGTAGCTAGCTTGGTGAATAGTTGAAGAGATTGATGATTTGGGGACCTCAGCAATTCCTGTGTCTCTGCGCATGGGATATTTAAGCATGCATATTCACTTTAATTGAGTTGTCTCTACCGTCTGGGCAGCACAAGCATGCCGGCTCTGTAAGCACAAGATGAGCTTACTTCGAGATCACATCCCCGGCGACTTCATGCCTCGATGCTCCGACCCGGCCCACATTTCCGGACTTCGAAGCCCGCGGACCGCTTCACCGAGACCCGGTCGACCAGCACTACTGGGGGCGTTGTTGGCGACAGTCGGGCTAAACATCTTGCCGCATACAAGCCACGCGCGAGTCATGTCCACGAAGTTCCCCCGATACCGTTGATTTCAAGCTCAAGTGGTTTCATTTTTCAGCTCGTCTAATGGAACCCGACGGATGCGGTTTGGTAATCGCTTGGGTTTCGCCCCTTTTTTACTGGAAGAAGTGGAACGAATATGATTCATAACACAGCTTGCCGTGCCAGAAGAACAGCCAGCGCGCATCATCGACGCTGGGCGAATGGTGGTTGGGCATGGAACCTCAAGGCATCGCGCAGCTTTCACAAGACGCACCTCCAGCACGTAGCTCAGCAACCAAAGTCTTTCGCACCAACAGGCAATCAGGACGACACGGCACTACAAAAGCATCTGAAGTCAAGCTGATATGCGTTACTGCCTAGCTTCTGCTGAGGATGCCTGGACCGCATGGCAATCTCGCTGGTCCTAACCACGCCCACGCTATGGCTCCGAGCCCATGTTGCGAACCTGCTCATCTTTCAGAAGCAGGCCAAACCGCCATCTCAGGCGGTGCGCAATCGGCAGCTGTGCGTTCGCATTACCAATGTTCTGATCGCGAAATGAAAAAGCCCCCGGACCCCTCATTGCCTACCAGAAACTGTGCCTCTGTTGACCGCCCGCTACCTGAAACACAGGTTGCAATCAAGTTCGTATTCAGTTCGACTCGATGACGGGAGTGGAAAGCCGCTCAAACTGCACTGCCTCGTCCGTCAGCGACAAACCGCTGGCGTCAGCAAGCTTCTCCAAGCATCTGTATTTTGGCATTGACACGGGCGTTGCCATGGGAGTCAACATGGCATAGGTCGTGGATGAAGTCTTGTGCTGTAGAGGCTCCATGCCTGTGATCTTCTAGTTCACCGGCAGGCTGTCAATGGCCTTCTGACTTACGCCCCACTCCTTCTCGATGAGACGCTCACGAGCTTGGTACAAGAACTTGTACGCTGTCTTGATAGTGCCGTCGCTAACGCCGGCTACTGCTGCAATGTCCTTGGACGTCTTGGGCTCCTCCATAAGGTGTGATGCCATGTAGATGCAGGCCGCAGAGACAGACAGTGGCGAACGACCCGCAAGTTCTGACACGCTGACCGTCTTACGAGCGAGAGCGCGCGACACGTTCTCAATCTTCTGCGACTGCCTGAATGGCAGCTGTGAGGTGAAACGAGTGCAGAGATCTTCGGCGTTGGTCGACGTCGAGGCCTTGTAGCCGCTGAGGTCTTGAATGGCATTGCCGCCAGGGTTGGTCTCTTTAATCTTCTGTAGGAATGACTCCAAAGCTTTAAAGACCCTTCCGATCTCCTTCTTAGAGACGTTGGTGACTTGGTAGATTTCTCGGAACGTACGACCAACACCTGCCTGACGGCATGCAATGAAGATGCAGCCGGCCACGAGGGCTTCCTGGGGTTTCCCCTTCATAAAGCTGTGGTCGTGGCAAAGCTTGTAGATGTGCTTGGCACCGTCTGCCACGTTCTTTCCCAAATTGATGCTGTCGGTAAAGGCGCTGATCTCGCGGAAAGCGGAACCGATGGCCTTGGTGTTCTTATCTGTTTGCGACTTGTTCTGGATGCGCGCAAGGTTCTTGTGATCCCTGCCCTCAGAAAAGGCAATGCTCGTCTCGAGCTGGGCACCGTCGAGCAGAGGGTTGCCAGCGTCACCGACACGAGAGGGGTCGTCATTGCCCTGGTCGTCATTGGCGAACGTACGCCATTCAGAGCGCGTGTCAATGATGCGCTCACCCACAACGAGGCCGCAAGAACCACAGACCATGTCGCCGGAAGAGAACTCCTCCACCAGATTGGGAGGCTGCTCGCGGCAGTCAGGACACTCTACAATGATGTTGAGGTCCTGCTTGAAGTCGCCGATGGCGTTACCATGCTCGTCTAGAGCTGGCGCTCCGGCGGGATTCAACATCTTGCTTGTGTATGGCTTGGGCGTATATATAGAGGTTTTCTGGTCGAAAACTTTTCTGCGTCGCTTCGCTTCCTTCTTGCGTCGCCGGAGTTCCTGTCGCTTGTTGATGACAGTCCTGTAGACTTTGGGATTCTTTTCCGATGTGATGTCCTGGTGCCAGACGCGGTCGGTAGAGAGTTGGACAAAGAGCGGCGAATGCAGCTTGGCGGTGTTGGTAGGCAAGGGCAGGCAAAGCCCAGGAAGGAAGGCTCGCGATAGAGGAGATTGAGAAGTGTAGGAGTCTGGGAAGTTTCTCTCTTCTCGGGAGGATTTATTCAGAGGGTCGATCGATCGCTGGAATCAGAGCGCTGCGGGGAATCTACCCTAAAAGTTCACGGAGGAATGCGGCTTTCGTTTACAGTGAATGTGGTGGTTCTTGGATGACAGCGACAATCGGCTGGATCCCTGTGTCAAGATTGTAAGCATGCCTTTCTTACTTGCTGCAGGAGGCTGTCCTGCTCACAGTAGAAAAGAAAAGAACCAAAGGTGGCCCGGTCAATGGCAGCGAGGTCAACGAGAGTGCAGGTCAATAGTTGTCGCTGTGATTCGAGGTTGGAGAGTCGAGGGAAGAGTCTTTTCGCAAGGCGGGCAAGGCAGAAAAGCCGACCGATTTCTGGACCAGTAAAGGCGTCTGAGATGGCGCGGACCCCAGATCAACGAAACAGTCGGCTTCAAGTCTTCAGACGATCGCAAGAGGGTGAAATCAATAGGAATTTCGTGTCTTGACGGCGAGGGAGGACGATCTGGGTGCGGCGAGCGAAGGACTTGAGAGGGATGTAGGAGGAAGGAAACCGACGCCCTGTTTCGGATCCTCGCCTGTGCTCTTGTCGACGGCGCAAACCCAGGCAGGCGTCGAGTTTGAGCCTTACTCAGCATCAGCCATCTCATCACGTGAGGTACGCCACCGACGCTTGGTAAGCCTTGCGGTCGCCAGAAGGTGATTCTGGGCTATTCGCAGTCAGGGCAACTAAAAGTATTGTAACTTCATGATGAGAACGCAATGCGAATGCCGCAGCATCCATCCATTGGAATGTCATTGCACTGTTTCCCGTGAAGCCACACCCCAAAAGATAAAGCAAGCCAAAACGCCGAAAAAAACACTGTCTGGGTATCCTGTACATGATGCGCTCCCAGTAGATGCCCCCCAGCCCTGTACCTTGCCTCAAGGTTCGTGTCAGATGCACTCCCTCTATCCTGATCCTGATCCTGATGAACACTTCCATGTCTATTCAACCCCTGGTAAACCAAACTTTCTCAGGGCTGTTGCGACGCGTACTGTTCTGAACCCTCCCACTGATCGGCATCGGAGCACCCTCACGGGTTGCAACCTCAAAGCTTGGTGGCCGATGCAGCATTGACGGTAGCCCATGATACGGTCGACCAAACTCGTCGGGGTGCGGTGGCTGGCTATTGGATCTTTCGACGCTGCACAAAAGCGGATTCGTCGACGGCGATGGCGACCTTGACCTCGAGCCCGGCTCCAGCCTAACATCGACCTCACCCCCTCGATGCAGCTCTTGGTGCGACACTGCCCGGCCGCGACGGGAGCTCGGCGCCCAATCGCTGTTGCTGCTGAGGTTGGAGTGCGGAACTTGCACCATTGCCTGGTTGAGAGCCGAGTCGTTGTCCGAATTGTCAACAGGATAGTTGGACGAGCGGCTCGTCAAGGATTTTCGAATCATGACGCTGCGCTGCATCTCATCTTCCTTGATGCGTTCCAAGGTGCTCAGCCTTTTT